CAAAACCCCAAAACCCCAAAACCCCATTACTTATGATAAGCTTTTTAATTTGAGATTTAATAATAGAATAAAAAATTAATAAGTAGATATGTTTTTCAAGCAAATGTTGAGGTGTTCATAAGAAGAAACAGGCTTGGAACCCTGAGATTTTTCAATTCTTTGCAAGAGCAATTGTCACTGCTCCTAATATACCGCAAATTAGTGCAATTATTTACATCAAATTAGGAACTATATAGATAATGATCAAAAATGAAAAATAGCAAGCAATAAATGAATAGGTTAAGGAATTTTCTTACTTTTTTTGTCGAAAGTTATTTCAATCAAGAGTTAGAAAAAGCATTAAGTCTAAACAATTGCACTGGCTAGTCCGCCCTTGCCCATTTTTAAAGCATAATTCTAAGTCATTATGGAGAGAATTAAAATGAAAGCAGCTACGAAGAAATATATCACATCACTGAATTAATATGGCTATACATTGTAATGCTCATAAATAAACATTCCAATGTAGAATATTCCTAATAATAGACCTATGTCAAATGAAAATTAAAGAGTGCTATAGCCTTGCTTGCTGACTATCCTTACTGTCAAAGCTGTTCCTGTAAATAGTATGCACTGCCCAAGAGCAAGTAAAATAGGTATTAAAACAGATATTTCAGATGATTCATTAACTTGGGTTGATGTGGACTTTGAGGTAGCTATCAAAGCAACACATAACAATATTAAGAGAATCCCAATCACATGCTTATAGTTAAGTTTTTCCTTGTATAAAATATAAAACAGAATTGCAACAAAAAATGCTGTTAGAGATATTATAGATGTTATCGCACTCGTACTAATACCTGCTTTCTTTGAGTAATAAGACATTAAACCCATGTTTATCAATGCCAATCCTTGAAATAATACTCGGATTAACATCCCTAGTAAATTCACGTAATTAATGCCACCATCTTTTTTTAAAAAGGCAGAGCGGTCTTTAGACCAAATCTATCCATGCTATCGTTTATTTAATATTGAGGTAATAAGATAGTAGAGGAGATATACAAAGACAAACCCGAATCCTTCTGCATAAACAATTGTCGAGGAGCCATTTCGATATTTTATTCCATTTGATATTAAGTAGCAAATGATGGGATTACAGGTTGAATACCATAGCATATTGATGAATTTAGAGCGAGTAATAAATAAACTTTTGATTGAGACTTTGTCTATTCTAATTTGATATCTTAACCATTATTATCTATTTAACCTCATTTATCTTTATATATATCTGAGTCTAATAATATTTCTAGGTCTTAATCTTTTTACAATGGACCTTAAATTTCAAAGTGTCTCATTCTGATTTACAATAACTTTATTTATACTTTTTTTATCCTATTAATAAATAAATTAAAATAAATGTTTATCTTAAATATACATTAAGGGGTTTTGGGGTTTTGGGG